CAATTCTGCTTCAGAGTCCCAGGTAAACGGTTTGAGGGTGGAGGTGAGTCTCGTTAATGGGGATGCCACACTGCTGTAGTTACGGATGAATCGTCGGTAGAAGTTAGCAAAACCCAGGAATCTTTGGAGTTGTTTTCTGTCCTTGGGTCTTGGCCATTCTTCCACGGCCTTGATTTTCTGGGGGTCTGTCCTCACCTGCCCTCTCTCAAAAATCAAACCTAGAAAGGTTATAGACGAGGTGTGGAACTCACACTTTTCTGCTTTTACAAAGAGTTGATTCTCCATGAGGCGTTGTAGGACCGTACGGACATGCTATTGATGTTGGGTTTGATTCTGTGAAAAGATCAAGATATCGTCCAGATATACGAAAACAAATCTATTTAAGAAATCCCTGAGCACATCGTTAACCAGGGCCTGGAAAACAGCTGGAGCATTAGTGAGCCCAAATGGCATGACCAAGTATTCGAAGTGTCCTAAAGGTGTTCTGAATGCAGTCTTCCACTCATCTCCTTCTCTTATACGGACCAGATGATAAGCATTTCTTAAGTCAAGTTTTGAAAAGATGGTAGCGCCCTGGAGTTGTTCATACACTGAATCAATTAACGGGAGAGGATACTTATTCTTTACGGTTATCATGTTCAGTTCCCTGTAATCTATACAAGGTCTTAGTGACCCATGCTTCTTGGACACAAAGAAAAAACCTGCACCAACAGGAGAGGTAGATGGGCGGATAATACCTGATGTGGTCGAAGACTCGATGTACTTGCGCATTGCCTCTCTTTCCGGGCCTGACAGGTTGAAAAGCCTACTGGAAGGTAGTGGAGAGCCCGGGAGGAGGTCGATGGCGCAGTCATATGGTCTGTGTGGAGGTAAAGAGAGAGCTTTTTCTTTGCTGAAAACAGGTGCCAAGTCGTGGTAACAGGATGGGATGGAAGACAAATCAATCTTTTCACAGGGAGAAGTAGGGTAAACTGGTGATACAGCAGATCTGAGACAATTCTCAGAACAAAAGTCGCTCCATCTCTCAATATGTTTGTTTTTCCAGTCAATAGAAGGGTTGTGTTTAGCCAGCCAAGGAAAACCAAGAATAACTTGGGGTCTTTCAGAGTGGAATATGAAAAACTCACCAAAATCATGATGATTACCGGAAATAACAATATGGAGCTGAGGGATTTTCTGAGAGATGGAGGAGATGGTTTGGCCTGTGAGCCCGGTCATGGAGATGCTTGTTGGTAATTCTTCAGGGGTGATGGAAAGCTGTTCCACGATACTGCTACTGATGAGGGACTGTTCTGCACCTGAATCAATTAGTACAACAACTGGAAGGTTAGTATTATTTGTGCAAATGGTCGCAGGTAGGGTAAGACAGTTCTCAGGAGAATTAGAGGAGGAAC